CGCCGGTCGCGGCCGAGTGCTGGCCGAGACGCGCCTTGCTCAGCCCTTTCCCCTTTGCCCTGGGGGACACTGCAAGTCGGGGTCCCTCCCGTCCTTGGACAGGGTGGGTGGTCCGGCACCAGTAGGTTTATGGTCACCCCGATGCCGTCAGGTCAGTACTTTCCTCGGGGCAGGGGCTGAGGTCCGCGCCCTGCGGCTGTCTCTGGAGTCCACGCCCCTTTCCGCCCTAACGCGCTCGGCGATCTCGGCGCCCACCGCGCAGCCCCCTGCGGGGCGGGGCCAAGGCGTCCACGTAGCGCTGGGCCTGGGCTCTGACCCCCGGGTCGGCCTCCGGGGCCCGGGTTCAGGGCGCGGGGGTGGCCGAGGGGGAGGAAGGAAATGGGGAGCAACTTTCTTCATGCAGCACTTCAGTGTTCTTGGCTGGAAACATGAACAACAAAAGCTCTGTGTGTATTTGTATGTCTACAACTCTGTTTTTAAAAGTCTCGATTTCTTACAATTGCTCAAGAAAAAATTATGGCTAAGATGTGAACCTGTTAGAATGCTATATAACTGTAAGTTGTTTTTACTGTGGGAACAAAAAGCCCCCCCTATATCATATGAAAGGAAAAGCGTAATGAGTAATTTGAAGAATCCTTGTGTGTATAAGCATAAATATGGGAAACACAATCTGTGGATCAGACTTTAAGTTCATTGTTTCACTTCATTTCATGTGCGTGTACACATATTTCAGTTTAATGTGTTATTTCACCATTTAGAATCTTAAGTTTGCTTTGAACCCTTTCCTTTCAATCTACTTGTGCTTTGAGCAACACTGCCTTCCACAGGATACAAATAACAATGGCTTTTTTTTTTCCATAGATGTTTTCTGATGGGGAAGACACTCCAGTAATAGTGTGAATAGTATCAGTCACCTCTGTCTATATGAATTGTGTGTCTCAAGGATTTTTAAGTATTTGTCGTATTCAGACTTCCCTTCCCCCGCCCCCCCTAAGATATGAAAGCCCTCAGGGCCACTGACAATCCTGCTGCTGCCACTGAAATTCAGCGTAGAGTTTGCTCATGAAAACTTTCTCAGAATGACATAGTAATATGCAAGGTAAAACTGTATTGCTCCTCAAGTTATTCCATGTATTATGGGAAAGTGAAGAAGGAAGGAAACAGAAAAAATTGTAGATGAGGTGACAGTCTGGGCACCCAAGGCCTGGTGTTTCCTGCAATAAACTGGCAAAAAGGCGGTTTGCCCTGGCTGCCTGTTGTAATGAATGGCATTGAGCTGTGCTTGAATGCTTGAGCAGCAATAAGCTGTTATGTGTGTAGTAATGTACTCCTCCCTGCTGCAGTCACCCCTGTTTTATTACTCCTACAGATTCCCCCCCACTGACCCAATTGTAACAGTTGGGAAAATGCCAAAATACTTAACAGCAACCATATGGAAGACCCTCCAAAAGTGCACAGCAGGAGCTAAAGACAGGGCTTGTTCATTACAATAAAGACAAAATAGAAATATGTAGTGTTTAAACCCAGCACTCTAGTAGTTTGGTTCTCCCATAGTTTGAAACAGGCTGACATTTAGCTGATATGCACTAGACTGTCTGGCACCCATTCTGATTAGTTGGTGGCCAAATTACAGTGGTACATATTTCGTATGTACATCAGTTTTTATGCGAAGGACATGTACACTTGCATATAACTGAGATTTAGGACACCAGGAAGCCATAAACTACAAATAATATGGTATTTTTCATTTGTTTAAAACTATCTGTCCATACAAACTCACTAATTAGGGGTGGGGAACCTTTTTTCTACCAAGGGCCATTTGGATATTTATAACATCATTCGAGAGCCATACAAAATTATCAACTTAAAAACTAGCCTGCTATATTTGGTGAAACATTTAATTGAATTTACTGAATTTCAAGTCCTGCCTGTAGTTGCCTTCCCAGGCCAGACCAAATGATTTTGCAGTCCGTATATGGCCCGTGGGCCAGACTTTCCCCACCCCTGCACTAAATCAATGGGACACATATAAGCATAGTGGATAGAGAAAACATTTTAATTTTACTCTTTTTAAATCTCATTAAGAAATAATTAACTAATATACTATGATCACATTATAATGATCCAATACTCTTCTTCCAAAATGCTTAAACAGTGAAAAATATATATTGCATACCTAATGACATGCACCATGCCATGTGCTGGGGACATACCACAAATACAGTTTGTGGGAAAACACAAATACAGTTTCTTCCCCCTTTTTCTCTTACCCATCCTCCTACTAGGCTTTTCATCTTTTCTCATTCACTTGTTACAATTCTTACACCAATTCCAATGTGTTGTTTTCCCCCACACCAAACAATCTCAGACACTAGTGGGGTGTTCTATAATTCAAATCAACTCTGACATTATTTACCAGGAGATGGTATGAGATTCCACAGGTGAAAGGTTAAGTCCTAAAAGACTCCTCCCACTTCAGATGCCAATAGCAAGTCCTGGTTGTCACCTGTGCTTCTAACAGATCAGCTGTAAATTGGNAGGTTAAGTCCTAAAAGACTCCTCCCACTTCAGATGCCAATAGCAAGTCCTGGTTGTCACCTGTGCTTCTAACAGATCAGGTTCCCATCACCCCCTCCTGGGGTTCCATTAATTTGTTAGATCAGTTCACAGAACTCAGGAACCCTATTTACTCACAAGATTACTGATTTATTACAAAAGATATGGAAGGGTAAAAATCAACAGCCAGAATAAAGCTACACAGGGCAAGATCCTGAATGCAGGAGCCTCTGTTTCCCTTGGAATTTGAGGCCCAGGCACGGTGGCACATGGAAGTGTTCTGGTTCACCAACCTGGAAGCTCCCCAAACCCTGTTCTTTGGGGTTTTCATGGAGGCTTCATTACATTGGCAGGCTTTATTAAATCATTAACCAGTGGGGACTAAACTGAACTGCAGTCCCTCTGCCTTCTCCAGAGGTTTGGGAGATGGAACTGAGAGTTCCAACCCTCTAACCACATGGCTGGTTCCCCTGGTGACCAGCCCCCATCCTTAGGTGCTTTCTCAAAGTCGCCTCATTAACATAAACTGAGGTGTGGTTGGAAGGGTTTTGTTATGAATTTCAAGGCACCCTTATAGCTCCATGGCTTAAGAAATTCCAAGGGCTTTAGGAGCTCTGTCAGAAATGGGGACAGAAACCAAATGTATATTTCTTATCATAAATCACAATATTACACTTGTCTGTTGCAGAGAAGCAGGCTTTGGCTTAGTATAAGAAAAATAACTTTAGTTATAAAATAACTAAACCATAGGGATATAATGTACAACATGGTCAATATACATGTACAATATAGTCAATAATATTGTATTGACCTTGTCTGGTGACAGATGATAACTAGACTTATTGTGTATATTGATCATTTCAATATACAAATATTGAATCATTTTTACTGTACACTTGAAACTAATATAATATTGTATGTCAATTAAAAATAATAATATTATTAATATAATAATAATTTTAAAAAGAAACAAAAAGAAAAAAGAGCTATTAAAACCAGAGCTTTTCTTTTTATATATACATTTTTATTGATTTTTAGAGAGAGAGAGGAAGGGAAAGGGAAAGAGAGAACACCCCCTACTGGGGATGGAGCCCACAACCTTATGGTGCATGGTATGAAGCCCAACAAACTGAACCACACTGGCCAGGGCAGCCAGATATACCCTTAAATGGGATGTGTGCTGTATGAGATAGTGAGCTCCTTGTAAGAAAGTGTTCAAGCAGAGGAAGTCGGTGGAAACAGGGTTCCTTTAAAGAGTCAAAGCCTTGACTGGAAGACTTCTAAGATTCCTTTAATATCTGGGATTTTATTATGAATAATATATAGTTCAGGCCAAATACCTTGGTGTATAGTCTTTCACACCCTACAGATAATACTATCAAATCTTGTTGGCTTCACCTTTAAAGATATGATGAAGCCAAAAAGATACAGCATTTCACTCTTTCAAATTGTCCTGATTTAGGTATCCTTCAACTCTCATCTGGGTCATTACCACCTGTCTTATTACCTGCTCCCATTCTTTCCCCACTCTACTCTTGTGAGGAGAGTGGTCCTGTTAAGTGTGAACCAGATCATGCTATTCTGTTTCTCAAAACCAGATCAACATATTGTCTTTACTTATGTCTGGACCACACACACCTGTGTGCACACTCACACTCACCCATCTGTTTTCCAGATTAAACTTCTGTTGTTCATCCATTAAATGTCCAAATTTTTACCATCCAGGTTGCTCACCTAATTATGTCCCTTCATTATGTGTCTCAAGTGGAACATAACTGTTTAGACTCTATCATAGAATTATGCCCTCTATTACCTCCTTTGTTCTGTACATTCTATTTCTTCTTTTTAAAGGGGGGAAAAAACGGCTTTATTAAAAGACCCGTTGCAAAAGGCTAATGAAAAAATACACTCTATTTCTGACAGCACTTTCTTTTATTGCATTAGCTTATTTGACTATTATAGTCTTTGAATTGCCTCAAACTTTTAGTCAAGTAAAACTTTTAGCACATTTTAAAAAATATAAATTCCTACTCAGCCCTCCTCATCCTGTACTTGACTGATAGACAATTTTAACCCAAACACAGAACTTCACATGAATCACTAGAGACCTCCATTCATTTTGCATTGATTAACTTATAAGCACTTTTGAGGCATTGCAGCTATCTTTGAATTTGTTTATACTAAATCAAGGACGGTGAAGTGTGGACTAAGGTGCTACTCGCAGCAGTCACAGGGGATACAAGGTTTGACTTCGGGACAGTAAGCTAGAGAAAGCTCTCCGGTGTACCTTTCCTTCCTGGCTCCCAGCCCATCTGAGTGCCCTACATCTACACTTCACGCTCTCAACTCCTCCGATTTCAGAGCACAGAGGCAGCACTTACTCTACCTGACTCAAGGACAACACTCAGATGAGATGATCTCAAACACATGGACAGTTTTTGCCCATTTCAAGCCAAATCGTGTATGCAACGTTTTCCCATGTTTCAGCAGGCTCACCAGGTTTTAGTGTTAAAATTTAGATTTTTTTAAGTACAATTTCTGCATTCACGCTTTAACAGCTCTAGAAATTCACCTCATTTCTCTCTTTGTCAAATCTTGCTTTAAAAAATATATGCCATAAAGCATGAGTCAGACAAGTCAGACATTTAGTCAATGAAAAAACTAAATGAGTACCCTAAATGTGTGTGGCTGCACATCATTGGTTTTATAGTCTAAAAGAGTTCATGTGTTATTTGGAATATGTAACAATAGGATCCTTTTTGAAAAATAAACTAAACTTTGCCCTGAATTCCTCACAGTGTTAATAGTAGTTGCACGTGACTAAATCAAGACAGAATTCGTGC